TGCAAAACGGGACGGAAAACGTGAAATTTTGCAATAATCTTGCGCCACCCTTGCACAAAACGACGATAATTTTTCTAATTTCATAGACAACAGAAGTATTTTTTCTGTTATAATCTAGTTTATCTATGTTATAATCTGCATAATCCAGTTTAATTCAAGAGAAACAGAACATCCCTAAGTCTTTAAATTTCGACGATGAATTATGCATATATTAAACGGTCTTATGTTAAGTGCACATGACAGCGTCCACGTTTGTGAGGCTCCTTCATCGTCTACAAAAACGACCAACGCCGTTTTCTCTTTCCTTTATCTCCCATCTTCTGCAAAGCAGGACCGCCTGGTAAAAGCTTTGCTTGGGCGTTTTATCTGGGAACTTTTTTCCCAAGGCCCTTAATGCGACCCTTCTCGTTTCCGTTGGTCAGAAGAAGGACGTGGAACCGATTTATTTTTAGTTGCCAGTTGCGAGCTCGCTGTAATCCGGGAATTGCTCAAGTATTGAGCGCAAGGAAAAAATCTGCAATTTGCTCCCTCTTCTTTGTTGGATTGAAATGCAAGTGTTACAAAAAAAAAGAGATTGTTGCCATTGCGACACATTTGGCTTCTTTGAACCATATTTTGCGCCAACCTGATCAGACGCATTCTATTTTAAGCTGGCGCTTCAGATTGAAATCTGGCATCGAAGCTGATTCGCAATAAACTGCTAGTTGGATCGAGCAATTACTCGAGACATTTTCTTGAAGTGACCTCGATTTAAACGAATCCTATACGATACGACGCTGGTTTGTAGCTCGCTGCTTGGCTTTCCTTGCCCACTAATTCAATCGCTCGACTCGTTGACTCTGATGTTTGGCTAATAGGTGGGTATCTTGGGGGACTGGATTTTTCTAGAAAATCTAGAATATTCGGACAACAAATTGCTTCTACCGAACAGCAATCCAGAGCATTAGATTCCGATCTAAGTTAGTTGTGAAAAGGTTCTGATTGGGCCCGAGAGTAGACGCAAGGCATGCGCTTTCGACCCCGCCTGTACCTCCATGGTCGTGGTAAATCGCTTATCCACGTCACGCAATGCCTAATTGATTCCAAAGTTCCCTCTCCAACCGGCTTCCCGAAATAGATTTTCCTGATCTTCCATTGTGACGAGGCAAGTGGGACTAATTAACTGAGTGCGAGCGAGCCAATTTCATCATCTCTGTCGGTTCCGTTCCACCCGTTGGTCGCCATCATCCTCCATCCAAGCGTCACGTAAGCTTAACAAAGAGGACAAACTAATGGTCGTCCTCGTTCCATGCACCGCAACAACGACACGACAGGCCAGCGGGCAAGGACAGAGCAGCATTGGGTGCTTTCGATCTGCCGCTGATGCTCCACAGGCAGCAGAAAATCCCCATTTCATGTTTTCAAGCCACAGTGCGGTCTATCGAGCTGCTGTCCGACTGCTCCTGCATGACGACAACGGGTAGAGAGCTGCATTCTACTTTCCATGGAAGGTCGAAGCTCGAAGCCCACTTTGTTTCAGGCACTCTAGCACAGCGGCGCACCACATTGTTTTGCCCTTCAAACCAACTCGTGTTCCTTCTCCTAATCCCGACTCTTCAGGTCAATCAGAATTTTAATTTGCACATGGTTAGGGGCTGCTACCCAGATAGCATTTCATATTCTATGAATATCCCAGAATGTTCAAAAAATATACGGAACATTGCGGGCATATCCTGGGAATATACATGGTTGAACATTCCTAACATTAATGTTCGTGGAGTATACATGCATGTATATTCATCAAATACATATATGTACATATTGGGTATATGTGCAGATGAACATGCCAGGTATGTACATATTGTGAATATGTGCAGGTGAATATACCTAGTATGTTCAAAACAAATTTCCGGTAATATACATTAATGTATATCTACGGTATATTCCAAATTGGTTGAATATTAATTTTGCGTGCCCGCGTTTATATGAACTTTTCTTTTTAAATGCGCCAACGTTATAATTTTATTGGGCAATATTAACAAAATTTCTATATTACTCAAATAAATTTATCCGGAGCTAACAGTTCCCACCCTATGAAATTCAAACAATTAAAATGCATATAACAAATTCAAATTACCCGCTTAGTGTGTAGACGGAGTGACAATGAGAACGGACCAATGAGAATCATCTTTCACGCAGTGCTGCTTGGCGGTAACGCCAAAGCGCTCAAAATTTCTCAAAAGCTGCAAAGCTTATAATTTATTGGTTATTGGCGTAAACAAATTATTATGCGCTATTACGCAAATCTTGATTTTTTAAATTACCTATATGATTATAGATTTATTAGTTACTAGAATACTGTCTTTCTAAGCAAGACAAAATTTTGATTTTGTCAATATCGGTTTATCAGTGATGTGA